TACAAGTGATGCGAATATTGCCACAAGTGCAGTAGTTAAGATAAAAGGCGAGAATGTGGGAGACATAATAATTCTATTGAAAATACTTTTCAATATCTTGCTTCAAATATTTTTTTATTTTGTTATTTCTTAATTCTTATGATTATTATTTTAAGGAAAGTGCTCTTTTATAGCCAGCAAAAGTTAGTTTGGTCCCTTTTAGTGCTGTTTGGAACTACCTTTGGAACTCTTTTAGTTTATTTTTACTACTTTTAATTTTATTTTGTGTACATTATAATTGAACACATGCTCTGGGACGACTCATTACATACATTGTTATTTTAGACCACCTGTCAGGTTATTGATTCGTAACAAGGCCACAAAAGAATTGTCATAACTAAACAGAATATTCACTTTATAACTCCAAATAATCTATATCCAGTCACACTCACCATTATAATTATAGTTGATTTAGTCATTTTGCAATTGAGTAATAAAAAGCATTTTAGTCTGGCTGGCAGCAGTAATTGTATTTAGTGGCTATATAGATTGATGCATAATCATAACGTTAGTGACACATACGATGCAAAATTGTATTTTTTTCAAGTTCTAAAAAATGAGTTTCTATTACAATTTTGACTATTATTTCCTTTTTCGAACATGTGGCTATCAGTTAGTGCTTTTTTCAAAAAAATTGCTCAAAAATTACTAATTTTATAGATTTATATTGATTTCCTTATGTTTTGTGTAAGTTTGAAAAAAGTTTTGAATTATGTCAATTTTTGGAAGTACCCTAAGCTCAATTCCAAACACAGTTATTAGCAATTAACTCTAAGAACCAAGCTAAAACATTCCCTGATACATAAATTTAGATGCCTGTGCACTGTAAAAAATGTATGCAATCTTTTCACTCTCCAGTAAATTATGGTGCCATTTCCTTTTTGCTTAAGCCTTGAGGCATCACTTGATTTCCCTCCATCAGTCATTGCAAAGAACCTGTCTCTTATCATTTAAGGATGGAAACTTTATCTATTTACGGAAATTATAGATCTACTTGCAAAACCTTAATTATATAAGTCTAGTACAATATTAGTTATTTTCATTAATGACATTATTAATTTATGCATCACTTGAATTTAAATTCATATAACAAAAGATATACATGCTTGCTAAATTATTTTACAGGAATTTAGACCTGCATGCATTATAGTATTATAACAATCAGTGACTGGTGCATGCTGGTGTGACTTTGTGTCTCAAAACATACAATCTCCTAACACTTTCTTTACTTCAATGCCAACAAGGCCAGAATGTACCTTCCAGCCCAAAATGTTGGAGATAACTGTAATAAAAAAAAGAATAAAATAAATTATTATATTATACAATTAAATATAAATTATCTACTCTCTCACTTTTTATTATTCCTACTCTCTTCAAAGCTGAAATAAACAACTTATTATGTTGCTTAGTTGCAAGCTCAATATACACTATGTAACATTTGTTGCATAATTTGCATGCAAATTCCCTCAAGGTATGATCAAGAGTAGATAAGATGTGATGTGATACTTAAATTAACTGGTATTTTTATGAGATGCTGTTTGGTAAATGGAATTTTGTACATGCAAACTGAGCCTAGAATTATTTTGATTGTACTAGACCAGATTTATATATTCTCTATTGAACAAAATCAGTGTGGCATGGCTGGCCTTAATACTATAGCAGTCTAGATCTACTTGAATATTATGTTATTATAGTCTAACTAAAAGTAATTCAGAAATGTCATAACTCAGTAATTATAACAAAACTAAAAGTACAAAATGTGATATAAAAAACAACACTATTATTATTATATCACTGCTAGATTTATTATAGTTCAAAGAAATGTTTTCATAAAATGCTATTCACAAGCACTTGTGTGCATGGTACATGTAGTTGCTGATGCATACTGAAAAGTAAACAACTGTGATAAGTTTTGAAAGTAAAGTAGTCTATGTTACATACAATGACCAAATTTAGTCAGAGGCAACTGTAACAGCAATAACAACACTGTATGTTAAAATAAATAATGTGCACTCTCAATCATATTTCAGTTACAAATACACCCACTTCTCTAGTACTCTTTACCATTAGTGACTGGATAAGGAATTACTTGATTGAATTTGTTGTGACTTTATTATTACAAGATGATTGATGTTTCTCAATGGAGAGCAAGTATTGGATTGTGGAACTGCTGTCAAACTGCCTCCAGTAGACAAGCTAATGGCCACCACTCTCACTCATTCAAAGATGAGGCAATAAACAGGAAGTCAGAAAATACTACAAAGACATTAAAAATGCCAGCAGCTCTACTTGTCATTGCTTTTCTCCTCCTCCTCTTTTATTTTCTCTCTTTATCAAGACACATCTTGATAATTCCTCCAACAGGTAAACCGCAACGATTGCAACTTTGTACTTGTACGTTTCCTGGTATTTTATTAATTTTAGGTAACTGCTACCAAGCACAATGCATTACTGGTGCTACTGTTACTAATAAAAATTACCTCCAGTCAGAAGTCTTACCTGGAAGCAGCAGTTCTAACCTGATATATGATGATCTCTATTTAATTGTTTGTCTACGTATGCTCCTCCTCTTATCAGGAGATGTTGAACTCAATCCTGGTCCTATGATTGATGATCGACCTGATATTTTATTGTTGATTGAATGGCTTGAACCACTTGTTGACTGGAAACCATTTGGTTTACATTTAGTTGGAATTTCAAGGCATGACGTATTGAAAATTGAACAAGAACATGTACAGATTGAAGACAGAAAGTTATCATTGTACTCAAAATGGTTGTCAGTCAATCCTAAAGCAACATGGAGAAATGTCATAGATGCACTGACTAGTACAAAAGAGAACAAATTAAAACAAGATATTAAAGTTGCCATAGAGAGAGTCTCTAAAGAGTCACCATTATCACCAATATCTGATGGTAATGTTACAGTATACTTAAAGAATTAATAATAGCACATAGATCTACCATATAGCTCTCAAACTTCTTGTGGCACAAATTTATGTGTAATCAGAATTTGGGGAAAATTACCAGGGAAAATTTTAATTAATATTTATTTCCAAAAGATAAATTTTCCCTCAAATTTTCCTAAAAAATTTTAGATTATCATAGCTGTTTATTGTGCTCAGTGTGCATGCATGCTATAATTGCAAATTTCAACTACAAAATTTTATTTAATTTTTTTAATTTTTTGCACCACAAAAATTTTATAGGTTATTATTCCCTAAATTTCTTTAATGCAGTGGTATATTTGTATTTTAGGAGATGTAGAAGTCATACTATTTCCAAAAGAAGATCAAAAAGCTCAAGACTCTTTAAATAAATTGCAGATAAAGTTTTCGCACATCATGACAAAAGTTATAGCAGCTTTTTACAAAAGGGCAGTCAAAAATTCTCGACTCCACTTCAATATATCTAATTGGGTAGAGAGTTATCTTCACTGGGAGCATGGTACAGTAGATAATGATTTAGATGATGTTTTCAAAAAGATCTATCATAATTATGATTTTATTGACTGTAGTCTGATAGTTGCTATGAGTGATGAGTTTATAGGCGATGAAAAAGATCTACTTGATGAGTTGAAGGCCTACTCATCAAATGCTAAGGCATTTCATTCATCAGAGCCAATTACTGAGCTTAAACAAAAGCTACGTAAAGTGTATGGACCATATCGAAGACGGTTAGAGAATATGCCTTTGATCTGTATTGAACTACAAAATCCTTGGAATGATGTTACAATTAGCGGACTATATATTCTCATTGGAAGATTGATTCCAAAAGAACTTAGGCAGTCACTGATGAAATGCATTACTATTGAGGAAGGATCTGTTGTCATCAAGCTACATATTCTTGACATTACAGCTGAGAGTCTTGTAAAATACACTGGAGGAAAGTTACAGTTTATGAGACTCATTGGTATATTTAGTTTGTACATTAATGATCATCCTGTCCTTCAAGAAGATGAGAATATGAACTTTACCTTTGAACTTGCTCTCCTTAAGGCAGTCAGAGCTTGCAATAATGAAGCAGTAGAGTTTCTTCTTCAACTAGAAACTGTTAATATTAATCATATTAATAATGAAGGCAAGACAGCACTAATGTTAGCTTGTGAAAGAGGACATGAGGAAATTGTACACAATTTACTTTCTGCTGGTGCTGATTGCAGTGTTCAGAACAACAGTGGATGGACTGCACTAATGATGGCAAGTGAACACAATTATATTTCAATCATTCTCATGCTATTACAAGCTACTGATCTAAAGAAATCAAATGGATCAAATGCTTTAATGATTGCTAGTTACCATGGTAACTATGAAGTTGTAGAGCTATTGATTAGTAGAGGAGTTGATTATGGAGTAAATGCTTTTATGTTAGCTTGTCAAAATGGCCACACTAAAATAGTTGAACTGTTCCTGAAGAAACAAGTTGATCCTATTGTTCAAAAAAAAGATGGCTGGAATGCTTTTATGTTGGCTTGTCAAAATGGTCACACTCAGATAGTTAAGTTGTTGCTGGAGAAACAAGTTGATCCTAATTTTCAGAAGAATAATGGTTGGAATGCTTTTATGTCCGCTTGTAAAAATGGCCATGCTGAAATAGTTAAATTGTTGCTGAAGGAAAAAGTCAACCCTAATGTTCAAATGAATGATGGTTGGAATGCTTTTATGTCCGCTTGTAAAAATGGACACACTCAAATAGTGGAGCTGTTGCTGAAAGAACAAGTTGATCCTAATGTACAAAAGGAAGATGGTTGGAATGCTTTTATGTTGGCTTGTCAAAATGGGCACACTCAAACAGTTGAGTTGTTACTGAAGGAAAAAATTGATCCTAATGCTCAGGAGAAAGATGGTTGGAATGCTTTTATGTTGGCTAGCGAAAATGGACACATTCAAACAGTTGAATTGTTGCTGAAGGAACAAGCTATTCCTAATGTTCAAGACAAATATGGCTGGAATGCTTTTATGTTGGCTTGTCAAAATGGGCACATTGAAATAGTTCAACTGTTGCTAAAGGAACAGGTTGATCCTAATGTTCAAGAAAAAGATGGTTGGAATGCTTTAATGATAGCTTGTCAAAATGGTCACACTCAAATAATTGAGCTGTTAATGGAGAAAGAAGTTGATCCTAATGTTCAAAATAACAATGGTTGGAATGCTTTAATGCTAGCTTGTCAATATGGTCACACTCAAATAGTTAAACTGTTAGTGGAACAAGTTGATCCTAATGTTCAAAGGAATACTGGTTGGAATGCTTTTATGTTGGCATGTCAAAATGGACATAATCAAATAGTTAAACTATTGCTGAAGAAACAAGTTGCTATTAATGTTCAAAATAATAATGATATCACTGCTTTAATGTTTCCTAGTGCTGAAGGTGAAGGACAATATGAAAATATAGAATGGGAAGCTAATACAACTATTCACTTCAGTGATAGCTATAGTGTAATATCAGTATAGTCAATACTGTAGTTTAAGTAATTTCCTGTACATTTTTTGCTACCAAAAAAATTTTTCACACATAATTGGGTCAATACACTATAAATGGATGGTTCTGGTGTAGAGGAGGTTGTACATGCATTATCATTTTTTATGTCTATATGTACTCTAATTCATTACTAAACTGTAAATCTAAAATACCACTGTGATTAAAACACAAGACTTGAAATTCCAATAGTAAATGTAGATCTAGTTGCATAATTGTTGAGTCAATAGGGCTTGCATTAAAGGGAAAGTTAATTATTAAATGCACAATCAGTTAAATTAATATTTTCAAATAGTATGATGTACAATAGAATGAATAAAAATATCAAGTTTATTCATTAATATCAAATCCAGATCCACTTTCTTCTTCCTCTTCCTCTTCAACTTGATTGCCTTCAGTTTTAATGTTTGGACATTCAAACTGTAGTT